TGCGTGCGTGCGTATCTGTGCGTGCGTGCGTGCGTGCGTGCGTGCGTGCGTGCTTGCGTGCGTGCGTGCGTGCGTGCGTGCGTGCGTGCGTGCGTGCGTGCGTGCGGGCGTGCGGGCGTGCGGGCGTGCGGGCGTGCGGGCGTGCGGGCGTGCGGGCGTGCGGGCGTGCGGGCGTGCGGGCGTGCGGGCGTGCGGGCGTGCGGGCGTGCGGGCGTGTGCGCGTGTGCGCGTGCGGGCAGGGAGAGGCTCCTCCGCCCCCGCGGGGCGACGGAGGGCCATGCGGCCTGCCTGCGGCGAGCCCCCCCCCCCCTGGGAGGCGCAGGGCGGGGCGCAGGACTGGCGCAGGCGCCGCGCCCCCCCCCCCGGCAGGAGGGGGAGCCGCGCCGCGACGGGGCCGATTGTGGGGGAACGAAAACTGGCACAAACATGACAACTCGGAGGTCCGCGCGGACTTCTCGGATCCGCGCCGGGCCCCCCTGGCGGCGCCTCCGGCGCCGCCCCCGGCGCCGCCCCTGGCGCGCTCCGCGCGCCAGGGGGGGGGGCCCAGCGCATATCCAGGAAATCCGCGCGGACCTCCGAGTTTCTACGATTGTGTAATCTTTTGTTCCCCCAGATTGCGGCCGATGTCGGGTGCGGCGCCGCGGCCTGGGCCGAGAGGGCCGCGGAGGAGGCGAGGGGAGGGGGAGGGCGAGGGGGGGGCGAGGAGTGGGAAGGGCGAGGAGGGAGGGCGAGAAGGGAGGGTGAGAAGGGAGGGGGGGGGGACGCAGGGGGAGGGCGAGGAGAGGGGGGGGGGCGGGGGGAGGGCGAGGAGAGGGGGGGGGCGCGCAGGGGAGGGCGAGGAGGGGGGAGGGGCTTCACCCTTCCCTCCCCTCCCTCCCTCCCTCCCTCCTCCTGCCCCTCACGATGTGAGCATGACTCTCTCTCTCTCTCTCTCCCTGTTGTTGTGAACACCTCCTCCTCCTCTTCCTCCTCCTCCTCCTCGAACGCTTGCCTTCCCTATTTCTTCTGCCGTCAGGTCGCCGTCGGTTCTTCACGACGCTGCAGCCTCTGCAGCGCGGGCCTCCTCTCGAGATCGGCGCTCCGCTCCTCTCGCCGCTGTCGTCGCCGGCCTTTCGCTTCCTCCGCCTTCCCCTGGTCCTCCTGCTCTCGCTCCCCGTCCGCTTCCGCTCCTGCTGCTGCCGCTGTTCGGCCTCGTCCTCCTCCTTCCCCGTCCTCCTCTTCCTCTTGCTCAACCTCCTGCTCCTCCACCACCTCCTCCCCCAATGTACGCAACTCCATGTCTCCGATTGCGTATGACTGGATGAAATCCTTTTTGAGATTCCAGGTCCGCTATGGCGTGCGTTGGCGGGTAAAGACATACTAGCGCAATGGGAACAGATCGGTGGGAGGGGTAGGATGTCAGATATTGCGCGAGCGCACCTACCCTGTCCGCCTCCTCCTCCTCCTCCTCCCCCTCCTCATCCTCCGCCTCCTCCTTCTACTCCTCCTTCTCCTCTTCCTCCGAGAGGGGGGAAGAAGGTGCGGTCGGTGCACTGGCGGGGGGAGTGAGGAGGATGAGCAAGCGGGAGGCCAAGGGGGAGGAGAGGGGCAGCAGTGGGAGGATTACGAAGGGGGCCAGAGGAGGACAAGGGACGAAGGAACGGGAGTAGGAGGCAGAGGGCGAAGCATGAGGGGAACAAGATGAGAAACGCACGCAACCTGGGCCGCCGGCGGCGCTCAACATTGAACTCCGCCGGAGGGGTCGCCGCCGGTCGACGCGACGCGAACCTACCGTGCAGGACAAGGAGCTAGGTGCAAGCAAGCAAGCAAGCAAGCAAGTCCAGCCCGATGACTCAGAGAGCCGCTCGCCCCATTAATGGGGTCGGAAGTGAGGACAGTGTGAAACAGCGACTATTCCTGTACGCAAAAAATGAGCAGCACCCCTCGCATCAGACAGGATGCTCGGCACCAGCTCGGTGGCGCCCTCGACGGGGCAGCCTGGCGAGTCGACGGGGAGCTCGGGGTAGCCTCGACGCTGGCGCCCTCGACGGGGAGCTCGGTGCCCTCCACCCAAAGAGGACAAGCTCGGCTCGCGCGATGCCGAGAGTATCGCCGGCCTGCCTCCGTGCGCTCTCTCCTCGACTGCCTCCCTCGGAGGCGGCCAAGAGGGGGGCGTCCAAGAGGGGGGGTGCAAATCATGGCCGGCGGCATGTGGGGGGCCCAGGAGGGGGGGCCAGGGACGTCATGAAACAGGAAGAGGCGCCATGAAAGCTGGGGAAATATCATGGCCCACGCCACGATATCCCCCCCCCCCTCGTCATCACCCCCCTCTTGGCCGCCCCCGACTCTCGCGGGCCTTCTCTCCCGAGGGGGCCCTCCCGAGCGCCCTGCGCTTCCCGGGCGGCGGGCCACGCCCTCCCTGCGGCGCACCAGGGGGGCGCCACCGGAACGATGGGATGACTGAGAGGGCCCTGGGACACACAAGCAAGTGGCACGCGTGCCATGGCTCTTGCACAACACGGAGGGGGAAGGGGGAAGAGGAGGAGGGGGAGGAGGAGGAAGAGGAGGAGTAGGAGGAGGAAGAGGAGCAGGAGGAGGAGGAAGAAGGAGGAGAAGGAGGAGGAGGAGGAGGAGGAGGAAAGGGGGGGAGAGAGGGGACGAGAAATCGAAGAAGTCTCGGGGGGGCGGGACGGCGGGGGCGCTTTGACGCATAATTGAAACGGTCGAAGTGGAGGGGGGGCGGGGTGCACTGGGCGGGCGGGGAGGGGAGAACGATTGTGGGGGCGGGACGGTGGGGGCCGTGCGACGCGGAAGAAAACGTTCGTGGCGGAGGGGGCTGTGGGCGGGGGGGCCCTACTGGAGCGCTGGGGACGCGGGGGCTCGGGGGGACGAGGCTGGCTCCTACCGGGGCGCTGGGGACGCGGGGGGGGGGGAGGGTGGGGGAGGTGGTGTGCGTCGCGACGCGGAATAGACTGGTCGGGGCGGGGGGAACACTGGGCGGGCTTGGGCAGAGGGCCACGGGGCGGGGGTCCAACCGGAGCGCTGGGGACGGGGGGGAGGGGGGAGGTGGTGGGCGGGGCTCCCGCTTCGGCGCTGGGGACGCGGGGGGGCTCGGGCAGAGAGCCACGGCGCGGGGGTCCCACTCTGGCGCTGGGACGCGGGGGGGGGGGGGGGGGGGGGGGGGGGGGGGGGGGGGGGGGGGGGGGGGGGCGTGCGACACGGAATAAAGCGTTCGTGGCGGAGGGGGCAGTGGGTGGGGCTCCTGCTGGGGCGCTGAGGACGCGGGGGGGCTCGGGGCAGAGAACCACGGTGTGGGGGTCCCACTCTGGCGCTGGGAACGCGGGGGGGGGTGCGACGCGGAATAAAGTGGTCGGAGCTCTAGACACCCCGTGCAAGAGAATGAAAACACAGATAACAGGATTCCCCATAGTTTCCCATATTTTCTTGGTTTTTGTCTTCCCCCATTTCTTATATGTTCCCATGCTTTCCTGGGGATCGACGATGTATTGTGTCTGTGTGTTTTCTCCCCTCCTGAATGACGTCCTGAAGACGAAGCCAGGACGAGGCTAAGATCGAGCGAGGCCAATCCGAGTCTCTGAGATATCCCGCGGCTCCGGAGGATGCCTCGGGCGCCGCGGCCTCCTCGGAGCGTGCCGGAACGCTCCGAGAGCGTGCTGGATCGCTCCGGAACGGATTTTATCCTCGTCCGAGCCCCCTCCGAGTCCCAAAGAAGACCTCGCCTCCCTCCCTCCCTCCCTCCCCGCAGGGCCTTTCCAGTAACAACAAGCAGGGAGAAGAGGATAGCGATTGGGACCGGGGAGAAGTCAAGATGCATCACCGATGCTGCCATCCAACCTCCAGTCCCAGGTCCCCTCTCCCTCCCTGCGCCCACAATTGAGGCGGAAGCCCCTGTTCGAAAGAAGCTGTCCTGCGTCCTGCGAGACATCAAGAATGCCACACGGTGGGGCCATGCAGGTCAAAGACGCGGCCAATCCGTGCGCGCCTGGTGCACGCGGCGCCTCGCGCAGAGAGAGCACCTCTGCGGCCCTCAGGGCGCAGCGAGCGACTGCGAGCGAGGACGTCGCACGCCTCGAGGTTGCAGGTGTGCAACGCGGGGCGCGCGCGCGCGCAAGTCGCGAGCGCCGATCTCGCGCTCCCCATCCGTCCCCGACCGCCAGCGAGCGGTTGCTTAGCGTGCCGCTGCGGCGGCTCCAGCGACACGCTATGCCATGCGAGTGGATCGCGTGTCGCTCCGCTCCGCGGGACGGGAAGAGAGGAACCACTCGGGCCGCTGACGCCTGGGGACTGGGAAGCGGGCATCGCGTCGGCGCCGAAGCGCGATGCTCGGACCTGGCGGCGCGAGACGCTGCCCACAAGTTCCCGACCGTAAGGGGCGTGAGGTCATCGGAGCCACAGCCAGGTCGCCTCGAGGTCGGGGACACGACGGGCACGGCCCGCGGCACTGCGGCGCGACACCGAGCGGCTCTTCTTCGCAGGGTGCCTGCCTGCGGGAAAGCAGCGCCTGCTTCGTGAGGCCCTCGCCAGGGCAGCTCCGGGGAGTCGCGGTCGATGCCCGAGAGGCCCCCTTTTCTGGGGCCCCAGAAGCCCCTCGAAGGGCCCCTTTCTGCAGCCCTCGCCAGACAGCCTGCACCCCCAGCGGTAGAATGCCCGCAGCTCTGGCGCAGCACACCACTGCCTGACGAGCCTTGAGGCCCCTGACCTCTGGGAGAGGACGGACGAAAAAGGCTGGAAGAACAGGAACAGAACGACGACGATGGTGGTGATGATGATGATCATCTGGCGCTCCTTGGAAGCCGTCGCGCGAGAGGCCGACCCCGCAGAGGCGCCACGCACACTGGCCGCACCGATGGGCGGATCGGACATGCCACCAAACAAGAAGAGGAAGTGCCAGCTGGGACGCCTGGACGCCTGTATCTTCCTCTGGTGAATTCAAGGAGCTCGCCCGCAAGGGTCCAAGATGGGACGAGGGAGGAACACGAAGAGGAAGATCACGAGAGGGATGGCGAAGGGAAGGAGCGATTCAGGAAGAGGAGGGGCTCTCCCGCAGTCCTCCATCGTGTTGAAGAAAATTGGCGCGATCGTCGACCCGATGCAGACCTCTGCGTGACTCGGCGGCTTCAAACAGCTCTTCCTCCAGCGCATCTCCCCTCTGCTTCTGCTCCTGCTCCTGCTCCTGTTCCTCCTGCCTCCTCCTGTTACCTCCTCCTCCTACCCCCTCCTCCTCCTCCTCCTCCTCCTCCTCCTCCTCCTCCTCCTCCTCCTCCTCCTCCTCCTCCTCCTCCTCCTCCTCCTCCTCCTCCTCCTCCCCCACTTCACTCCCTCAGCGTCGCGGCCCCCTCCTCAGGCTCCTCGTCATCCTTCTCTGTCGACTCTGGCGGTCCGCGCTCCGGGCCGGTCGAGGGAGCGACGCTCCCC